GTCCCGGTCCGGTCCGGGCGCGACACTGAGGGTTGCGATCCGTTGCTGGACACGAAAAAAGGAATAAATAAATAAATAAATAAATAAATAAAATAAAGTTGCCTTTAAAAAATAATTATTTGTGATTTTAAAAAGTTTATAATGTAATACATATTTCACAACAGATTTACTGAAAATGTCAAGAGAATCTAAATAGTTGAGAACACAATAATTTTCTGAAACCAAAGGGGAAAATACCACTTACTATCATACTCATCTCAGCCCAAACATCTCTTCACAGTTGTAAAGGAGATTGCTATTTTAGGAACAGGCCTAGTGATGGCCAGATTATCTCCAGTAGATGTGTAGCTACTGGATCTACTACTGGATCTTCCTCTCATCTAAGACTGTTTTAATTAGACTGTGGCTTCAATTGAAAGTCTGTCAAAAGAAAAAGAGAGGAAGCCTGGTAGATATCAACTGCAGAAGTGGAGTAATGGGAAAGCAGGTCATAGAGAAAACTGGGCGGGACTCTCCCTGATTGTAAGTAGGACAAGACTGCCCCGTTGATACTCTGTCTGCTTTTCCCTTAAGCAATGCTTCTCAGCTGCTCTGGTGGCAGCTTTTGTGGATGGTGTAGTGGCTCCCAGCAGAGGATCATAGTAGCTGCTCTTGTCACTGATGGCTTGCTTAGTAATACTTTCTTTGCACTACCTCTAGAGGGCAGGTCATAGCTGTGTCTGTGTTGAACCTGTAGGATGTGTTTTAACCTTCACTCTCTGCAAGAAAGAACTGTTTTTTCAAGGTGCTTGTTTAAGGACTTCTAATGTTATACTTTGTGGAATTATAAAAACTAGTGTTATAGCTCATAGTGTACATTCCTGGCTATCCTTTCACCTCTAGTTGGCATCTAGGTCCACTGACTCGTGTTTTGTTTAGATTGACTTCTGTACTAAGGGTTCCTTCCCAGTGAGTTTCACCCCACTGAAATAAATTCATCACCATACTTTCTCTTTAGCACCAAGGACTTGGCATCAGCCAAATGTCTTGACTTTCTTTTTCCTGAGGCAGAGGTCATAAACTTGTGGTCCACGGGCCAAATTCAACACCTGGATTTGTTTTGCCAGATTTGTAAAATGGAAAACTTTTTTTTTTTTTAACATAAAAGTATTTAACAGTTGGAAATTTCACATTAATATGTGGATATCTGGCTTTTCTTGGAAAATCAAAATGTGGCAACAACTGGACTTGAATTGCAACTATAGCTAGAGCTGAGTAGTGGCTGTACCTTTTAAACTGGGCATATATTCTCTGCTTGGCAAGCCCCTACCTGACATGTCATTTGAGTTTGTAATCCTTGGAGTAGTACATGCATTAAAATTAAGTCATAAATATAGTGTTGTAGTTTTAAAAGTAAATATGCTGCTGAACTCTTAGTAATTCTCTCTTGAATAACAAATGGAAAACTCATTCCAAATATAGGATGTAGGTAGTCAGATCAAGTTGTTAATATTCTTCTGTGATCAGTTCTTACAAATAGAAATATAGTATTTCCCAGAGTTTGTGCCAGAGAACACACACACCACACCTTACACAAATTAAAGATGAATAGAAGGCACAAATCTGTGCTCATGGATTTCTGAAAAAGCGTGTGTTTGGAAACATTTTTTACAAGAAAAAATAGGAGTAATCAGACTACTCTATATGGTCAGTCATACTTCAAATGAATTCAGTATGTAAAAGACTCCTAGAAGGTGAGCAGCAAAAAACAAAGAAGCTATTTTTCCTTTGGAATTTTACTTTAGGAAAAAGAAGAAAATCATAACAAATTCAGGTCATTTAAGAATATTATATAACAAGAATCCCTGTTGAGACAGATTTGATGAAAGGCCCTTAATCATTTTTATCTTAACATATGTTTGAATTTGTATTAAAAGAATAGTCACTCACACTAAACCCGAATTAGAAGGCAATTTTTACGGATGGTCAGTACTAGGAATAAAGTCAATTGCCTCCTTGGATGCCCTCCTCACATGCTCAGGCTCTGGCAATTCCTCCCTTCCCCTATTCTGGGAGGCTTTGTATACAGACCTTCTCTTGCTCTCTTATCCTTCCTGGGCTCTTGAGACCCCACTCGGGACCACCAATCCCTGCCATTCCCTGCCAAGCACAGATGTCCACTTTTCTCTGGCTCTTCTTCAGGAAGGAAAGGGAGGGAGAGAAAAGTTGAAGAGCACAACTGGCTTTTTTAAGCAAATTTCCACTTAAAATTTTTTATTATTGCTATAAAATATAAATGTACAGCAAATTAACTTTAAAAAATTTCCCCATTAAGATTTTATTATATCTTTATGTTAAATTATATATATATCAATATTTCTTTTCATATTTAGGAGTCTCCGAAAAATGTGGAATCCTTCGCATCCATGCTGAGACATTCACCTCTTACACAGATGGGACCTGCTAAGGATAAACTGGTCATTGGACGAATCTTTCATATTGTGGAGAATGATCTTTATATAGATTTTGGTGCCAAGTTTCACTGTGTATGTAGAAGACCAGAAGTGGATGGAGAGTAAGTAGAATCATTTCCGAGTACTTTAAGAGTATTCATAAAAGTTGAGATACCTGAAAAGTATGAAGGTACTTCAGAAAGTTCATGGAAAAATAGAATTAAAAGATAATACAAATCTTTCCATGAACTTTTTGTAGTACCCCCATATTGTTGGACTTAGGTGATTTTTGAAAAGACAGACAATATATTTATTTCTCATGGTAATGTTCTTAACATAAAAGTCTAAAGTGCTTAAAAATACTTTTTAGTCATGTTAGATCGCATTCATGTCTTCTCAAAGCAGTAAGAACAGTTTTGGGGAAGATTTGAATGTTCATCCTGATATTAAACCAGTCCACATGATAAAATTAAAACCAACTTTGTAGTAGGATATGCTGCTCAGACCTTTTTGCTTGTAACCTTTTTTGCCCCTCTTCTATTTGACAGTCTCTCCTGCATCTCAGCGAAGCCTCCCCTTTCCGCTTCTTCGTGTTTCTTTCTCTTATTCCACCGAATTCTGATGCTTTATCATTTTCTTTTCTTATTATTTCACATCTCTTTTCAGGATTATTATTTTTCATGTTATATAAATAGAATTGATACTATTTATAGTCTAGGCAGATAGAGATATTTATGAATGTAAATATGCATTGGAGAAAGCACTAATGTGGGAGATCTATGAGCAGAATATTAAGAGTTAAGGAGATGTTGAACTAAGATTCTGAAATGGGAAAACAATAGTAAACAAGATGGAAATTATTTTTTTCAATCGTTTTTAATGTGTAAATTATTTAGATTTCAGTGTTTCTGATATCAGGTTGCATCTTACAGGTGATGGTTTATCATTTAATTGGCAGTGTTTTTTCCTCTTATTAGTATATGAATAATGATGATTCTAGTAATCAATGGCATCTTAGGGAGAATTACAGTAATTGCATATCCTCCTGTATACTTGAAGTCATCTCTAGATTACCCATAATACCTAATACAGTGTAATGCTATGTAAGTAGTTGTTATACTGTATTGTTTTTTATTTGTATCATTTTTCTATTGTCTTATTTTTTATGTTGTTAATATTTTTGATCTGTGGTTGGTTGAATCTGTGGATGTGGAATTCACAGATACAGAGGGCTAACTGTAATGAAATAGAATAATTATAACAATATGCCAACATCACTACTCTTGTGCTTTGGGGCCATTATGAAGTAAAATAAGGGTTACTTGCACACATGCACCACAATACTGTGACAGTCTATCTGATAACCAGGATGGCCACTAAGTGACTGAGGGCTGGGTGGTATCTACAGTGTGGATATGCTGGACAAAGGGACAATTCATGTCTGGGGATGGACCACAAGATTTTATTTCATGCTACTCAAACAGCATGCAATTTAAAGCTTACGAATTATTTATTTATGGAATTTTTCATTTAATATTTTCGGAGTGTGGTTGATTGCGGGTAACTTCAAACTGTGGAAAAGCAAAACCATAATGGACGAGTGGTGCTACCATAGCTAGTTTCTTGAAAACCTACATTGGCATTTTATGTATATTGTCTCATTTATTCTTTTAAGAACCATATAAAGTAGGTGATATTATCTCCATTTTCCAAATGAAGAAATGAGTCTCCGAGCATAAATAATGTGCTGCAGTCACAGTACTAGGAATTAACAAAGCAGAGATTCAAACCTAGTGCTGTGTGTGTCCAAAGCCCATCAGTGCTCTTTCACCATACTGTGTTGCTCTCTAAATCATTCAACATATAGTTACCCAAGTATTATAGAGACCTCCTAAAATAGTCTCAAATATGATATAGTTTCTTACTAGGGACCCTGAAGACAGTGTGGTGGTGAAGCTCTGTGGAGGTCTGTTAGAAAATGGTAGGTCATCTATTATAATATTCTTGTCCATGGTTGCTATGGTCTGAATGTTTGTTTCTGCTACGGTCAGAATTCATATGTTGAAACATAATCACCAGTGTGATGCTTTTGGGAGGTAGGGCCATATGGAAGTGATTAGTGCCCTTATAAAAGAGGCCCCAGAGAGCTGCCTTGCCCCTTCCATCATGTGAGGACACAGTGAGAAGGCACCATTTATGAACCAGGACTGGTCCTTCACTGGACACCAAATCTGCCGCCACCTTTATCTTGGACTTCCCAGCCTCTAGAACTGTGAGAAATAAGTTTCTGTTGTTTATAAGCTACCCAGTTTATGATACTTTGTTATAGCAGCCTGAATGGACTTAGACAATGGTATAGTGTGTATGGACAGTGTTACTGCCAATAAGCTAGTGACTAGCAGGTCCAAGCTTTGTTTTGGAATAGATCTGTCTCATAATTATGGTAAGATCTGTACTCTCAGGAACTGGTTGATATTGATAGTAATTAGTTGCTTAAAGTCAGCATGCCTCATGTTATTTGGAAATGGTATATTTCAAAAAAGTTTATTCTGCAAATAATAGAAAGTTTATACATTTAATACTTAATTTTTAATTCTTTGGTTCTTCTGTATAAAATGTATCATCTACTTTATATGAACTTTGTTAGACCTAAAGCAGTTTAACATTTTGTTTTTGTTTTTGATGACCCAGGGTCATAATTGTAAACATTAACTTTTGTATTGTACCATAATGCGAATATATAGAATTATTGCTCCATAACCACGTAACCCCCCAGTTCTATGGTTTCACCTTTCGGTGTCATCTCTCCTTCTCTGCTGTTATGCCCATGTTTGCTTTTTTATAGCTTTCTTAGGCCTAACTTTTGTATTGTACCATAATGCGAATATATAGAATTATTGCTCCATAACCACGTAACCCCCCAGTTCTATGGTTTCACCTTTGGGTGTCATCTCTCCTTCTCTGCTGTTATGCCCATGTTTGCTTTTTTATAGCTTTCTTAGGCCTCTTCTTCCAATATGGTGATACTTGGGAAATTGGTCACCAAGTTTATTGTGCTTAAAATAAGAACAAATAGTGTTTGAGTAAGGACCTAGCAGCCTCTTGTATAAGTAAAGTGCATGTACTTTAGTGCATGGACTTTAACATGTATTTTGACAGCTTCCAAACTTCTTCTGTTTAACTCTCACTGGGTTCTGTAGATTCTTGATGTCACCAGATAACTAACTTCCTGATAAGTGAAGTGTAACTGTAACTGGGTTGGGGTTTTGCCTGGGTTGACTGCCTGTTCACTGATGCCCTTGATAGGGATTGTCACATATCAGAATGGTGTTTGTTGAACCAATCAAGGTGCTGAGTGTTTTGGACATGACCATTTATCATGGTTGTGACTTTAACACCTCCAGTAGGAACAGTAGCAAAAATAAGATGTGATTATTGGATTCCAAATCCTATTTGAGATGATGCTAGTTCTTACAGTAAATTTGTAAGTAAATGAGTAAATTCCTAAAAATTTTTGTTAAACCCAAAGAATTGCTTTATGGCATTGATTAGTTCGGTTGCCTTGGAATGTACCTGTAAAACACTTTATCGGTCTCAAGAAATAAGCTGCTGATTTTATTAGATTAATTTAATTTTACTTTTGTTGGCTGGCTAGTACAGGGATTGAGCCCTGGACCTTGGTGTTATCAGAACCATGCTTTAACCAACCGAGCTAAGTGGCCAGCCTTATTAATTTTATTTTTAAATAAACTAGGAATGATATGATTTTTCATTAAGCCAGCAAACGATTAATGAACAGTTATGTGCCACTTCTATATTTAATGCTAGTGATATGCAGATTAAAGACAATCCTGCTTTCAAGGAGTTGATTCGGTCAGGGAGATAGAGAAGTAAGCCGCCAGCAAACGATTAATGAACAGTTATGTGCCACTTCTATATTTAATGCTAGTGATATGCCAGATTAAAGACAATCCTGCTTTCAAGGAGTTGATTCGGTCAGGGAGATAGAGAAGTAAGCCGATAAATGTAACACCATATAAGTTCTGTTTATTGATTCTACAGGAATGGAGAAGAGGGGATTGATAATTCCATCTGCTTTTGTCAGAGTAGGTTTCCCAGAGGAACTAGCAACTGAACTGACTTGTAAAGGATGGGTGGGAGATACTAAGTATAGGAAATGAGAGTGTTTCCAGGTGAGAGAGCAGCACTTGCAAAAGTTTTAAGTGAGAGAGAGCCTGGCTCTTCTGGGAATTCAAGTGTCTTAGTTGACTTGAGTTTAGGAGGAGTGATGGGAGAGTGAGGAGATGGGCAGGAGCCAGATTCAGAGAATTTAAGTATCATTCTAAAGAATTGGGGCTTTATTATGAAGGTGGCAAACAGCCATTAAAATATTGTAACAGGTAACGTGGATCAAATTTGTGTTTTAGTGAGATCATTTGGCAGAGGTATGGAGCATATATTGAAGGATGATGCTGAAGTTAGGGAGGTCAGTAAGGAAGCTGCAGGAAAGAAATAATGAGAATGTAAATGAAGCCTGAGGGTGAGGAAAGAAGAGACTTTCATTAGCAATTTAGGAGGTAGAAGAGACAGGTCTTGGTGACTGAATAGTTGTGGGTTGTGAATTAGAGGGAAAATTTTTGAATAATGTTTTATTTCAGACATGAATGACAGTGCGTTAGATTGTGTTGAGGAAGTAGAGAAGGGGGATGTATTATATTGATATTTTTGCCTGCTTTAAAAACAAAAATTAAAATGCCCGGATTTAGATCAGTTTTGATTCTTTTATTCCCATTCGTGGTTATAACACTTCTGATTAGTATCAAACAAGGAATGTTTCTCTTTTTACTGAAATATAAAATCTCTGTGGTTAATCCATGCTTATTGCTTTGGTGAAAGAGCCAAATTCTCCAAGTCTTTTCATTTCATTGTTATATTTTAATTTTGATTTTCCAAGAATTGTAAACATTTCTGTAAAATCCTCAAGTCCAGTTTTACAAGTAAAGTCTGTTTATTTATTAATGTGTTAATGAGGATTGTGTCTTTTAAAGCATTATTTCTACACTGACATCTCTATCACAACACACATGATTGACAGCTCTGAAAATCGAAGAGTTTCAAAACA